CTGTGTAGTCGCTCCCATCGCCGATGCTCTGCAGCTTGATCTCATCCTCCTTGACTTCCTGCACCTTGTATACAGTTTTCATCTTGATGACCTCGATGTGGCAATTGGCGCTCACGCCCATACTTGCCAATTTGTGCATCCTGTCGGCGATTCCGCCTACGCTCTGCACTTGTGCAGAAGCCGCAGCTTGCTGCGCGGGAGCTTTGGGCGGGGCTCCTTTCTTCGCCCACGGGGATGTGATCTGCGTGCCTGCAATGGTAGCCAGGTCTTGCACGTACTCGTAGCCGATGTGGTGAAGCGACTCGAACTTTTGGCTCCTGGGGTCGGGCTTCTTCATGCAATGGTGCACGAGCCTCATGCCGAACCTGTTGATCAACGTCTTCACGGCCGCGTTGTCTTCTGACAGGTTGACAGTTTTTGCGATGTCTATAGCCATCGATTTCATGATGTCTGCCTGCGAGATCATGCGCTGCACTTCCTTGTTACTCGTGAGCTTAAGCCCGAAGTCACCCGATGCAAAGAGGTTCTGAAAGTCGCCCGATGCATACTTGCTGTCGGCGCTCATCATTGCCTTTACGCAATCAATGCGGAAGGGAATGCAGCCCAAACCATCCGAGCCGATCGCTGCATCAGCCACCGCCGCCAAGACGGGGCCCTGCACAATGCGCGGCTTCTGGCACGAACGGTTGAAAGCCCGAAGCTCCTTCAAATTCGGTGCGTCTGGTCCACCAGCGAGCTTCCTCGCAAACGTCGCCAAACTCTGGATCTCTGAAACGAAATCTGGATTTCTGGATTGCGCTTTTGTTATTGCCCTACCCCACGCGACGTCGGGGTTCAAGATGTCGCCCTCCTTTTTATTGGCTTCGAAGTTGGTGACGATCTTCTGCACGTCCCCGTGCATCTTGAACAAGGTCTCCCACCTAGTCTCATTCATGGAAACCTTCTGCGCAGCATTTCCAGACTCCGGATTGAACGCGGCTAAAGCCAACATAAATGCGGGGGGGGGGCGGGGGCGGGGGCAATCGAAAAGTTAAAGGGTGGGCCATCGATTTCACAAACTTAAGCGGGTCCTGGAGCAAGTCTATAATGGCGCCGAATGCGTCTTCGGCCTGCCAGACAAGCACGTCCCAGTCAAACCCCTCCTTCGCAGCATCTGCCAACGTGGGGCGCTTCAACCCGATCTTGTGGATGTCAAGCTTCCCGTCGGTACCGAACTCGACGTTATCTGAATCTGTAGGGCTGCCAAACTGAATGCAGCGGGTCGCCTGGGTCGTGTGCGACTTGCTCACGCTAAGGATTTTGATCTCGCCCTCGTCGTATGGCGGCAAGAAGCCGTGGGATTCCTTGACAAGGTCTCCGTTGAACTCGAGTGCCTCGGCGCGGCGCTGGTGAGATGGGGGTGGCATCTCGATGGCAAAGGGCACGCCCACCTCATCCATGCTGAACCCGTCGCTGCAAAAACTGCGCACCAGCGTGCGCACGTGGGATGGAATTATGCCATCGCCGTACCTGTTCCGCGGGTGCACGGCCACGTAGCGCCCATTCGTTTTCTGGCGCCTCAGCAGACCCTCCTTCCGCAACAATCGCACCGCCTGGTCGCGCAACTGGAGAATCGGGGGGCAATGGCTCAACGTGTACTCCTTGATGATGTCGAAGATGTGCTCCTGGACGCGCTCCACGCGAGCCTGCATGGTCTCACCCGCCATGGCCCAACTGCAATGCGCGAAACGCAAGGCGGGGGCTGCGCTGAACGCAAGCTTGCAAGGGTGCCTGAAACCTTTGTCTGGGCCAGCGGCAGCACAAATGCATGAAACAACTATTGATTTCGCAGCATGCCTCCCACGGCGCCCGCGCAATATTCCAGATCGGGCACCAAGGTTCTCTTAGGGTTTAGGGTTAACGACATTGGCGTCACAAGTGTTTTGGGCGTCCTGTTCAGCGCGCGCGCTGTTATATATATTGATTGAAAATGCATGCCCATACATGGCGTTAGTTTGCGTAACTGCAGTTATGTGGCACTTACGCGCCACTTATGTGGCACTTACGCGCCACTTATGTGGCACTTACGCCACTTACATAAGTAGCTCGTAAGTTACTTACGCTACTTATATAAGTAGGCCGTAAGTACTTATAAGTAGGCCAAAGTACTTATAAGTACTTACGCTACTTATAAGTAGGCTGCCCCTACTTATAAGTAGCTCCTAAGTAACTTAGCTACATATGAGCTACTTACACTACTTATGAGCTACTTACGAGCTACTTACACTACTTATCAGCTACTTACGAGCGACTTAGGAGCTACTTATAATTGGCGTAACTGCATAAGTACTTATAAGTACCCCCGCCGCGCGCAGCGTCGCTGCGGCTGGAGAGCGGGCGGCCAAGAGGAGGCCAGGGCTGGGACAAAATCGAACCGGGACCCATCGGGGATCTCTGAGGTCCGGCGGCTCTGGAGGACGCATCGGGCGCCGGAGCCCGTTCCAGAGCGCTCCGGGACGCTCGCAGAGCTTTCTGGAACGATCTACCCCGGTCCAAGCCCCGCCCGATGGATTCCTCTCGGGAAACGGGTGTGAGTGGACCCTGGGAGGGATCTCAAGGACCAACATCCTTCGATGAACAAAAGGACGATATCCGCCACCGTGTCCTGAGGCACGAATTGGAGTGTCCTCAGGTCCTTAGCCTAATCCCATAAGCCTCAATCCTCACTCCTGGAGATCATTTAAGGGGCCCGGACCCCAAACTGCTAAACCTCCCAGGGCTTGTCGCATGCCTCCAGGGTATTGTCGCACGATCGTTTTGGGCCCCAGAGAGCCACAAGACGGGCCAAGAGCTCCTCAAGAGGCCCCCAGGACGGTCCAACAGGGCCCCGAATCGACGATCGGTCCAAGACGCCCGAGATGGCCCGAAAACGGCTGACGAGGCGCCCAAGACGCCTCAAGAGAGGCCCAAGAGGCCTCACAAGAGGGCCCCAAGAGGCATACATCGCCCATTTCCAGTGGGAAAACACACACGTTTGGCACATACGACGTTTCGGCCTCACGGTGTACAAGACGGCCAGAGAGGACCCCAAAATCGCCCCGAGACGGCCTAACAGGCCCCCAAGAGGGCCCCAAGACGGCCCAAGAGGGCCCCAAGACAACCAAAAAGGCGCCCCAGACGGCCCCAGAGAGCCCCAAGACGGGCCGCGGGACCCAAGAGGGGGAGCCCGAAGCGACAATTCGAGTTTCTCGCCCCAAGATACCAAGAAGCCCCAACAGGCTCCCAACAGGCCCCCAAGACGCCTCAAATCGGCCCCCAAGAGGCCCCAGAGAGGCCTCCCACAGCATCCCGACGAACATCCAAGAGGCCTATGACCGACCACCCAAGCACGGTGGCGGGATGGGCCGAAGGCCAGTGGGTCCGCCGCCCCCCGTGATTGTCACAGGGGTGCCCGGCGTGATGGATCCTTTCGGTTTTGGTTTTGGTTTTTGTTCCAAAAGAACTCTCCCCCGGGGCTCCGGCCCAGCCCACTGGCCACCTGAAAGGCTCTTCTGGAGGTGGTTCCAAAAAGGTTTTCCTGCTCCAGATGGCTCCCAGATGGCTTCCAAGATGGCCTCCAAGTTCGCCCAAGACGGTCCAAGATGGCCTCCAAGACGGCCCAAGAGAGTCCAAGATGCCTCCAAATTTGCCCAAGAAACCTCCAAGACGGTCCAAGACGGCCCAAGAGGCCTCGAAGACGGCCCAAAAGGCTTCCAAGAGGTTTTCCAGGAGCGCCCGAAGAGGCCACAATCATTAATTGTCCATTGTTTTTTTTACATGTTTTCGTATTTGCTCCATTTCGTTCGGCCTTCCGACGGCCCGAGACGGCCCAAGAGACCCCAAAAAATCGCCCCAAGATCGCCCAAGAGGCCTCCAAGATGGCACCAGAATGGCCCAAGAGGCCCCCAAGACGGCCCCAAGAGGGCCCCAAGACGGCCCAAGAGGCCTCCAAGACGCCCAAGGAAGCTTCCAAGACGGCCCTGGAGCACCCCAAGTCGGCCCAGAGAGGCCCCCTAGGACGGCTTCCGACGGCGTCGGACGGGCCAGGAGCCCACCAATACGGCCCAAGATGGCTCGAAGATGGCCCAAGAGGCCTCCAAGAGGGCCCCAGGAAGGCCCGAAGAGGCCAAAATCATTAATTTCCCATAAGTTTTTGACATGCTTTCGTATTTGCTCCTTTTCGGCCTTCCGACGGCCAGAGACTGAACAAGAGGCCCCCACAGATCGCCCCAAGATCGCCCAAGAGGCCTCCAGAATGGCACCAGAACGGCCCAATAGGCCCCCAAGACGGCCCCAAGAGGGCCCCAAGACGGCCCAAGCGGCCTCCAAGACGCCGAAGATGGCCTCCAAGACTGCCCTGGAGCACCCCAAGAGAGCCCCAAGTCGGCCCAGAGAGGCATCCCAAAACGGCTTCCGCCGGCGTCAGACGGGCCAGGAGCCCACCAAGACGGCCAAAGAGGCCCCCGAGAAGCCCCCAAAGGCCCCCGAGAGGCCCAAGGAGGCCCCCAAGATGCCAAGCTCCCAGAAGGCCCCAAGGGTGTCTCCAGAGGCTCCCCAAATGCTCCCTCCTCCTCCTCCTCCTCCTCCTCCTCCTCGTCCTCCTCCTCTTCCTCCTCCACCTCCTCCTCCGCCTCCTCCTGATCTTCCCCGCCATCATCCCCCAAGTGTTCCCCGAAGGCTTTCCACAACGGTTGGGGGAACACATGGTCCGATAGCTTGGCAGAGCTCTTGCACAACGCTCGGCCATATGGGCGATTCTAGAAGGCAGGGGGCGGCGGTGATTCGCGGTAGGCGTCTTCGATAAACATAAACTTTCAAAACTCCGCGCAGATTTCTCGGACTGGTGCTGGAGCCCCCTGGCGGCGCCTCCGGCGCCGCTCATGGTGCGCTGCGCGCGCGCTAGGGGAGGTGGGCCTAGCGCCGATCCCAAATCCGCGCGGACCTGGCAAACTGAATGTTTCTGGCTTGTGTTTCTTCTTCGGGTCCTTGTCATCGGAGGCCCAGTAGCAACAGAAGCCCCCGGCAGACTTGGCATCGGCGCCCTCCGCGGAGCCCTTCTTGGCCGGCTGGGTGGCTGGAGGGTCGTCGTCGGTGGGCGCGGTGGTCGACGAGTCGGGGGTGGATGGCGGGTCGGCGGGCGATGTTGCCATCTTGGTGGCCGTGCCGCCCACGCACCAGACGTTCGTGTCGCTCTCCGCGCACTTCTCCTTCGAGATCTTAGCGTCAAACGACCCGCACCCGCCGCAGACGTCCTCGCCGCCGGCCGGAGCAGGGCGAGCTGGGACGACGGCAGATGGCAACCGGTCTCCTGACCCCTCCCGGAACGAACCCTCAAGCGACTCGAGCGCACCAGTCTTCCGTGCCGCGCCAGGCCGTGGCGACGATGGGTCCGAGGAGGAGGAGGAGGAGGAGGAGGAGGAGGAGGAGGAGGAGGTGGAGGTGGAGGAGGAGAGGAGGTAGAGGACGAGGAGTCTTCCGCGCCGCGCCAGGCCGTGGCGACGAGGGGTGACCCCCCCCGAAGGCCAACCGCCGTCGTCTCGGCTCGCCCTCCTCGGAGTCCGTCGGCCAGAAGCAGCAGAACTCCCCCTCCATAGGGCGGCGAAGCTTATACGTATCCACTGCTCCCTGGTCAGGCCCCTCCTGAGACCAGCAGCTGTGTTTTCGCCTGACCCTCCTGGCTTGGCCAGGAGGGCGTAGACACAGCTCCTGGGCTCAGGGTGGGCCTGGCCAGTCGGGAGCGGTGGATGTGTATAGACATCCTCCCCCGACCTTCAGGTTCTTCTTCGCGCCTTGGGCAGCGCTCTTGACGGGCTTGCCGCCGTCGGGGGTCGGCGGCTCCCGCGGCGACGTCTTCGTGGGGTCGGGTGCCGGCTTGGCCGTCAGCTTGTGCGCCTTGCCGCCGACGCACCAGAGGTTCGTCTCGCTCTCCGCGCACTTCGCCTTCGTCGAGGCCTCGAAGGACTGGCACTGGGTGCAGGCGTCCTTGCCGTCGGTCGGCCAGAAGCAGCAGAAGGGCCCCTTCGGGAGCTCCTTCGGGTCTCCGCTGGGGGCATCGGCCTCGGCCGCTGCGGGGGCGTCGCCCGCGGCATCGGCCGTCGCGGCCGCCTCGTGCGTCTCCGAGTCCGAGAACCAGCCCTTGTTCTCCCCCGTCTCCGCCTTGTCGAACGTCCTGCCCTGCACCAGGTACGCCCAGCGCGTCCTGGTGGCCTTCTCCGCAGCCATCTTCGCATCGGTGAAGCCGCCCGACAGGGACTGGCACCCGGGCATCTCCAGGTCGAGGCCTCCCTTGGCCGCGTACTTCCCGTCGACGTAGGAGTTTCCCTTGCACCCGTCGGTGTCTGCGGCGGTCGCCTGGCACTTTGTGGCGTCCCAATCGCTGATCACGATGCCCTTGAAGCCCATCACCCCCTTGAGATGCTTCTCCAGAATATCATTATTCGCGCAGGCATAGACTGGTCCCGTGTCGCACATGCCCGATGTGCAGTGGACGAGGTTGTAGGAGCACATCACAGCAGACATCCCGGCGTCAACCGCAGCCTGGAACGCAGGGTAGTACACCTCGAAGAGGGTCCTCTCGTCCACGACCTCCGTGAAGTCCATGCGCCCAACCTCGATGGTGTTGGGGATGAAGTGCTTGACTGTCTGCAGGGGCGGCTTGTCGATGTCCCTGTACGCCGTCACCATCGACTCCACCATGCGAGCACCGAAATACGGGTCCTGAGGGGAAACGATCGGGGGGGACCCGCTCGGGGGGAAACGTCGAGCTGGCATCGGCGGTACATCGCCGATAGATCGGCGATCGGCTCTCGACATCGAGACCGCACGTCCCTGGGCGGGATGTGCCATCAAGCACCTGTCGGAGGCAGTGAAGGGGCCCTGGGACACACAAATAAATACACACAAATAAACATATTTCCAATATTTTCCCATATTTTCTGGGTTTTTGTCTTTCCCCCCACTTCCCATATTTCCCTACCTAGGCTCTGCCTAGAAGGGTTCTTACTCTCTAGCTTAAAGGGGCCGGGCAGTGGAAAGCGCCCCGGGCGGTTCCCCAAGTCCCCGCCCCGCGGTTCCCCCAGTCCCCTGGGAGCTTTAGCTTTAGCTTTAGCTTAGCTTTAGCTTAGCTTTAGCTTAACGTTAGCTTAGCTTTAACTTAGCTTTAGCTTAGCTTGAGCTTAGCTTGAGCTTAGCTTTAGCTTAGCTTTAGCTAGCTTTAGCTAGCCTTAGCTTAGCTTTAGTTTAGCGTTGGCTTAGCTTTAGCTTAGCTTCAGCTTAGCGTTAGCTTAGCGTTAGCTTAGCTTTAGCTTAGCTTTAGTTTAGCTTCAGCTTAGTGTTAGCTTTAGCTTTAGCTTTAGCTTAGCTTTAGCTTAGTTTTAGCTTAGCTGTAGCTCAGCTGTAGCTCAGCTTTAGCTTAGCTTTATCTTAGCTTTATCTTAGCTTTAGCTTAGCTGTAGCTTAGCTTTAGCTTAGCTTTAGCTCAGCTGTAGCTTAGCTGTAGCTTAGCTTTAGCTTAGCTTTACTGTTACTACTAATGCTGCTTTCCTAGGGGCTCCAACTCCTAGGTAGGGTCGCACTGGGATAATTTCCCATATTTTCTGGGGGATCGCCGATTGATTGTGTCTGTGTGTTTCTTTCCCTCCTGAGACAGGTGGGCCATGGGGGGTCGATGCTGCCCCCGCTGAGGCAGCCCCCCCTGCCGCTGCCCCTGATGAGCATCGTTCATCCGATCCCCATCCCCAGCGGCGTGGCCTGGGCCCCACTGGCCGATTTGCCCCCCTAGATGAAGATCTGGGGCCGTTGCCTTCGGGTTTCGAGGGGTGTGCCCCCGACTGGGGGTGTCACTGGGTGGGGCTCTCGACTGGGATGGGGATGGGGATGGGGATCGGTTCAACGATACCGACCTGAGGTCCTCTTTTCTGTCCTTTGGCCCCGGAGGTCCTCCCCGGAGATGTACTCCCCCAGCCGGCCGTTCCAGGGGTAGCGGGCGAGGTTCACGCCGGGCGCCAGGTGGCCCCTGTTCGGCACTCCGAACTCCATCGCCATGTGCCTGGTAAGGAGGGGAGCTTCATGAGCAGCGCTGCTGGATCATCTGGGCCACCAAACTTCCTGGATCGCGCCGCGCGACGCGCGGCTATCTTCGCGCCCTCGCGCCGGGCAGCCGCCCTGCCTCAGACAGCGACGCGCGATGTGCGCTCCAGCAACTCCGAAGTGCTCCTCCCGAACGCCCCAAGACTCGCCCCAAGACCCAGGGCCGGCCCAAGACTACCCAACGGCCCCTCCCGACGGCACCCAGATCCTTGAAGCTGCTTCCGAGCGGCCTGCCAGCAGCCCCCGAGATGTCCCGAGCAGGCCTCCGCAAAGATGCGCCGCGACAGCCGTGCATCGCCACCGTCGTGCCACGCCACAGCGTGGCAACGCAGCGTCCTCCATCCCGTGGCGGATATGCGTGGCAACACCAGGCTGGATGTCGCTCCTCCTCCTCCTCCTCCTCCTCCTCCTCCTCCTCCTCCTCCTCCTTCCCCACCCAGCAGGTTGGAGTTGTCAGCTTTGGAGACAAGAGCTCCCGACCACACCCTGCACACCACGGCTGCCAGGCCTAGGGGGTGCGCTGGTGCTCCCTGGATGTCCCGCCTCGTGCCTTCGGCAAGGGACGGCTGCACGCTGCGTCCGCCAGGCCCAACGATTGGTCGGCGTTCCCTGGGTAGCCCGCCTCGCGTTCCTGGGTGGGGGTCGCTCGAAGCAGAAATCCCCAAGCAGTGCTTGCCCTCCGGGGTTCCTGCTTCGCGGTCTAAGGGAACTGAGCCTGACCGTCGGTCTGGCGGCTATGTTGTCGTCCCGTCGCCGCCCCGTCACCGCCT